CTTTAAACTTTAGGATTCTAAATCTCATTGAAAATGAATTGGGATATTTTGTCTCCATCTGTAAAACGCAGACTTTTAATAAAAAGTTCCTGGTTTAAGTATTAAACAGTTTTCCTCTGAAAATGAAATACTCTTTTTATAATGGAGATTCCACTGTGATCGCTGCAGTTTCTTTGCTTCCTACTGAAGAAGCTCTTAGTACACTTGCAAAGAACATAAGGAGTCATGTCAGAGGTCAGCTATTTGAGTCCATTTTCCCACAGACGCCTGGTGCGAGTGATCTTTTACTGTGTTTTAAAAAAAAATGGGCAAGGATTAGAGGGGATTAGAAAGAATATTACCCTCCTGAGTATAGGCCCAAAGCATTAAGGAGAGAGAATCCAAGCAGGCAGCAAATGGGCTTTGCTTGACCAGGACACAACCTCTACTGCATTCCTTTAAGAAACTGAATGGGAAATGGTAAATCCCCAAACTGGATTAGTAAATAATCTCATAGCTTGTGACATCTGCTAAAATAAATCGATGAGCAGACTACATTCTTACAGTTTGAGAGACCCAGAGACATCAAGAGTAAGTGTAATTAAAGATAAGAATTAAGCTCAGTAATTGTCGGAAAGGCCCATTTCATAAACAAAGGAAAAAATTATTTCAGATGTATTAATATGCGTACATATATATTGATTAATAACCTAAGACTTAAATTTTAAAACCACTACAACTTTTTGTCTTTAAGATACTTCTTGGGGTCTTATTGCCTGTAGCAGTTTTACAAAATGTTTCACAAATTCAATTCTTCAGTTTATGTTGTTTATCTCGTTAGTGTGTGACGATTTGGAGAAGCTAGAATTTGAAGTATGAGAATATATTTTTGAAATACATCTGGAATGTTTCTCTTTTTATCTCTTATAACAGAAGTTAGTGTAATTTGGAACTTTTGACATGTAATTTGATATCAGTTGTTTAGAACCAAAGAGATTGTTTCAAACCTATTCCAGCAGAGGAAGTGCATTCTGGCCTCAGTCTTTGGAGAAAGTATTTAGCTAACTAAATATTTTTTAAAGGTTTTGTTTTAAATTGACTAACAGTAAAGATGATGTGCAAATGGTTAATTTTGTATATTTCTTCATGTAATTGGTACATCTGATTAGTATACTGCTTTTATTATGGATTATGGTATTAAGGTGAGTATTTTCTACAGTAGCTTAGGATAGAATTTTGAGAATTTGTACCATAAATGAAAAAGTATTGATAGGCTAAAATTTCTGTAACAGGCATACTCACTGATCCCTTAAATACATCTTGCTGTATGATCTCTTGGCTCACTGACTTTTTTAAGGTGGTCCAGTGCTTTGAATATGTCTTCCTGTTTATCCTTTCACTCTCTCAATTTGCTCATCCATATTCTACCCATCTTTAAATATCAGTTTTAATCTCAGATTCCATCAAGTGGTTTATCTCCAACTCCTAAATCAGAGTTAATACTTCCTAAACATAGAGTTACGAGCCCTGGTGGCTCAGTGGTTAAGAGCTCAGCTGCTAACCGAAAGGTCAGTGTTTCAAACCCACCAGCCTCTCCGCGGGAGAGGGACATTACAGTTTGCTTCTGTAAAGGTTACAGCCTTGGAAACCTTGTGGGGCAGTTCTACTTTGTCTTGTATGGTCATTATGAGTTGGAATCGACTTAATGGCAATGGTTTGTAGTTTTCATATGACCCAGCAATTCCACTCCTAGGTACATACCCAAGAGAAATTAAAACGTGTCTACACAAAAACTTGTACACAAATGTTTATAGCAGCATTATTTATAATAGTCAAAAGGTAGAAGTAACCAAATTCCATCAACTAATGGATTGATAACAAAATGTGATATATCCATACAAAGAACTATTATTTGGTATTAAAAAGGAATACTGATACATACTGATGGATACTACAACATGGATGAACCTAGAAAACATTATGTTAAATGAAAGAAATCAGTCACAAAAGACCATATATCATATGATTCCATTTATATGAAATGTCCAGAATAGGCAAATTTGTAGAGACAGAAAGTAGATTAATGGTTGCTTAGGCCTGAGGGGCGAAGGGATAAAGGGGCAATAACTAAAGGGTACGAGATTTTGTTGTTTTGTTTTTTGGAGGTGATGAAAATATTCTAAAATTGATTGTGGTGATGGTTGCACATATCTGGTAGTATACTTTATAAAAACATTGATTGAATTGTATACTTTAAATTGATACTTTAGAATTAATACTTTCTAAACATAGTGGTTAAGAGCTTGGTTGCTAACCAAAAGGTTGGCAGTTCAAATCCACCAGCCGCTTCTTGGAAACCCTATGGGGCAGTTCTACTCTGTCCTGTAGGGTTGCTGTGAGTCGGAATCGACTCCACCGCAACGGATTTGGTTTGGCTTAGGTTTAAACATAGTTATGAGCCCTGGTGGCGCAGTGGTTAAGAGCTTGGCTGCTAACCAAAAGGTCTGTAGTTTGAACCCACGCTCCACAGGGGAAAGATGTGGCAATCTGCTTCCATAAAGATTACAGCCTTGGAAACCCTATGGGGCAGTTCTACTCTGTCCTGTAGGGTCTCTATGAGTCAGAATCGACTTGATGGCAATGGGTGTGGTTTTTTTGGTTATCTGTATTCCTAAATACATTGTTTATACTTCTAATAAAGCACTCACCATAGTCTGGTTATAGTTTTACTAAACAACCCTGTCTTTCCCATTATAGTATGAAGCTCCAGAGAACAGGTTGTTTTGTTTTGTTTTGGTTTGGTTTTTGCTGATGAGCACAGTGCTTTGTACTCAGTGAATTTTAATTTAACTTTTTCACAATTAAGTTTCTTCACCTTTAGAATGAGAATAAGAGAAAAAAAGAATTAAATGTTGCCACAAGGTGTTCTTCCAAAATTGTATTTTATAATTTTATACTTAATTCTTTTTTGGAAAAATAAACATGTGCTCTCACGTTATGTCCTGTGCTTCAGTTTCTGTGTTATATTTAACAAGGCTACACATAAGCCATTTATTTATTTATTTTTATTATACTTTAGATGAAGGTTTACAGAACAAACTAGTTTCTCATTAAACACTTAGTACACATATTGTTTTACGACATTGGTTAACAACCCCACTATATGTCAACACGCTCCCTTCTTGGGTTCCCTATTACCCACTTTCGTGTCCCCTCTTGCCTTCTAGTCCTTGCCCCTGGGCTGGTGTCCCCCTTTAGTTTAGTTTTGTTTTGTTTTATGGGCCTGTCTAATCTTTGTCTAAAGGGTAAACTTCAGGAGTGACTTCATTACTGAGCTACAAGGGTGCCAGGGGGCCATATTCTCGGGGTTTCTCCAGTCTCTGTCAGGCCAGTAAGTCTGGTCTTTTTTTGTGAGTTAGAATTTTGTTCTACATTTTTCTCCAGCCTCTGTCCATGATCCCCTTTTGTGATCCCTGTCAAAGCAGTCAGTGGTGGTAGATGGGCACCATCT